CGCGGCTCTGAAGTGGCCCTGGGAGCTGCAGGGAGAAGGGTTTGGGAGTTTTGAGGGCTGGCAAACGGCAGCTTGAACGTCCATAAAAGACGCTGCCACGGCCTCAGGGACTTGTTAGAGCTGCAGGAAAGGTCTGCCGCGGCCTGAGTGGCGCCTGGGAGCTGCAGGGGAGGGTTTCTCGAGTTAGGCGAGTTTCGAAGGCTGGCAAGAGGCAGCCTTGAACGTCCATAAAAAGACGCTGCCACGGCTTCAGGCACTTGTGAGAGCTGCAGGAAAAGGTCCGCCGCGGCCTGAGTGGCGCCTGGGAGCTGCAGAGGAGGGTTTGGGTAGTTTTGGCGAGTTTAGAAGGCTGGCAAACGGCAGCCTTGAACCTCTTTACTGCCACGGCCTCAGGGACTTGTTGGAACTGCACAGGGTCTGCCGCGGCCTGTTGCGTTTTGGAACGTAGAAACAGAGATTGCTGTGGCATGAGTGGCTCGTGGGAAGTGCACAGAAATTGCTGTGGCCTGAGTGGCTCCTGGGCGGTGAACAGAGGGTGCTATGGCCTGGGTGGCTCGTGGAAAGTGCCCGCAGGAACTTGTTGGAGCTGCAGGAAAGGTTTGCCGCGGCCTGAGTGGCGCCTGGGAGCTGCAGGGGAGGGTTTCGCGAGTTAGGCGAGCTTCGAAGGCTGGCAAGAGGCAGCCTTGAACGTCCATAAAAAGACGCTGCCACGGCCTCAGGCACTTGTGAGAGCTGCAGGAAAGGTCTGCCTCGGCCTGAGTGGCGCCTGGGAGCTGCAGGGGCGGGCTTGGGTAGTTTTGGCGAGTTTTGAAGGCTGGCAAACGGCAGCCTTGAACCTCTTTACTGCCACGGCCTCAGGGACTTGTTGGAACTGCACAGGGTCTGCCGCGGCCTGTTGCGTTTTGGAACGCCGTAGAAACAGAGATTGCTGTGGCATGAGTGGCTCGTGGGAAGTGCACAGAAATTGCTGTGGCCTGAGTGGCTCCTGGGCGGTGAACAGAGGGTGCTATGGCCTGGGTGGCTCGTGGAAAGTGCAAAGCATTGGGAACGAAAAAAAGTTCCACACCTGCGGTGGTCCCAGGCGCCGCCCCTGCCTTGGCTAAGGCAGGGGTCGGCGGATTATTGCACTGGATAATATAGATGATCTTGGATAATATATGGATGATCTTGGGTATTGTACTGCAACTTTTTTGTTTTGTGTCCAAATGCGGCCAAAAGAAGAGTTCGATCATCCTGAGAGTTGTAGTCTTCATGGCCTTCCTTTCAGGTCTCTGCGGCTTGAAGGCGTGGTGTCGAGCAGCAAGGGGTGGTGACAATGGACAGAAGGGTCCCTTCCCCCTATCGTTGGACAGCCCCTGGAAACCATGGCTTAGTAGGGGATAAGAACTTATTTTGGAGGTGTTAATATGTTAATAATGGGGGGATGGGATTATTTCGATGCTCTAGCCGTTTTGGGGGTACATGAATTATGGTGAATTTTGAGCCGTGCCCAAATGGATTCCACGACCATCTGTAGTCTATAGTGTGCAGGTATCACTACTACATTGGTGAAGTGATATCGAAATCACCTCTTGCTCGTTCGATGAATGCTGATGATTCGATGTATATATATATATAATATGTATATATATATATAATATGTATATATATATATGTATAATAATATGTATATATATATATGCAAAATCACCACTGCTTCTGATACAATCAGAGTGTTGGAATGCTGAGTGTTTGCTCCAAGACCTTTGATGCTGGATCTTTCGAACTTTGAATTATAGGAGCTCGATCTCGATCGGACATCTTCGGACATGCTTGGTGAAATGGGTCAGCTTTTCATTCGGCTGTTTGAAGCAATCAGTGCTTTTTTTTCATGCTGAAACCGTGCATGTTGTGAGGTGATGGTGATGTTTAAAATATTTTTCTGGGTAGCCGGGTAGTCTGTGAAGTATGGCGACATGATGCAAGGTGTATTTCGACTGTAATCACATGTAATCACCATATATTGCAATTCGATTGCAATTCGATTGCAATTAGCTACTATATGTCTATGATTCTATGCTGTAATAAGTATTCATAAGTAATTATATGTATACGTATAACATGTTATTAAACTTATATTGAGGATCTTCTATCGGTACATTCTCCAGGTGGATGGTGCGGTGGAACCTCTCGGCAAGTTCTTGCTGGTGAAATCCGCCGCAGCGGAGGAGGTCACCAAGGCGACGGATGACCCGGTCCCAAACTGGTCATGGATTTACGAAATGGGAATTTCAGTAGCCAAAGTGGGGACTCAAATAGACTCGTACATATCATATATAATTATATATATAATTTATCATATAAAAATATAATAATATATATATATATATATGTATATTTGATATGTGTAAATAGAATTAAATAGATAGATACAACAAGATACAAAAAGTATATAGAGATTTCACCAATGAATCCTGGATAAGAGTTTGTGCAAACGGGATGTGCCCCTGGGGGCCCCTGGTATGTGGCCCTAAAGTGGGGAACGTGATACTGTGCACGTTGCATAGGAATGGTTTGAATTCCCAACTTCAATTGGTACCGCTTTGTGCAGTGGTATGAATCTACTTAGGCCCTAGGCATACAAGTGGTGTTAATGTCTATGGCCATGCCCATGGTGGATTCTGGTAGATTGCCAAGACCGTTTCTTTGTCACCTGGGACTCATACTTAGGGTACCGCCAGTTTTGGATAGTTATCACATGTTATCACTAAGTTATCACCCATGTATGAATATTGAACATGGGGATGGGTCAAAACCTACAATGATCTACGATGGATCAACCTATTTCGAAGCCATTCACATCTATTTCACAGCGATGTTGGTATCCCTTGGCCGTTGCCAGGCCGGTTTGCTGCTTCCAAAGAGCCAGAAGCCCAAGCAGGGTGAGGTCGTCGCGGCTGGACCTGGTGAGGCGAACGTGGAATCCGGGCAGATGGTGCCCATGTCTGTGAAGGTGGGAGAGAAGGCCGGGAGTTGTTTCGCTTCGGCACGGCATAAGAGAGATCCGATCCTGAGCCACGCTTAGCTGTGAGGATGGCGAAAAAAAATCACAACATTCTTTACCCTTCACCACTCACAAAAACTTGGATGGGTTGAGAAATAAATGATATTAAATGATAACATATGAATGATTTTGAATGAGCATGGCCGAATTTGCATGTCGCTTGGTACCCCTATGTTTGAGCCAAACTTGGGTGCGCAGGTTGTGTGACTTCTTTTTTCCGGATTGGAAACGTAAATGTGGGTGTCGTATGGAGAGCTGGGACGGGCCAGTACTTAATTATGCAGTGTAGGATTTCGGGGTCATTTGGAATCAGATCTTCTGGTCATCCCATGTCCAGGTCTTGTACAGCAAGCACGGGGACTTAGACCTGGGGAACTAGTGTACCGACCACATATACTGCTCAAGCAGCGACTTCGAATTGAAAAATCATGATATTGGTTCCAATATGTTCCAATGTTAAAGGATGCATTCAACGGGGCATTCGAAGGTACAGCTGGGTTGTGGTGATCGTTCAATGGTGTCATCACCATGGCCCCCAGATTCTGAGGTATGGTGGCTCAGAGACCATCGAATGCGGTGGGCAAGATCATGTCTTGGTCCCGCAGCTGCACTATTGCATGGGATGTGGAGCTAGCAGCAAGCACATTGGGGAGTGGGAGATATCAAAGATCTAACAAACAGGAACATATTACAATCAAAGATACATAATATATAGTGTATATATAATATAATATAATACAATATAATATAATATAATACAATATAATACAATATAATATAATATAATATAATACAATATAATGTATATATATATATATATCTACTACATATATATATAATATGTATATATCTAACACATATATATATAATACACATATATCTTGATACCCCACAGCTAATCCCTCAAACATCATACATCGGGGCAGCCTCCGAAGATGGGCATTTCCCGCAAAATCACGTCCAAGAAGTAGTTTGACATGGGGATACCATTCTATATTCAGGATTTTGTGTTTCACACTCTGCATCACCCCATGATTATGATCTTGCGACTGTAGGCAATTGTAGCTATATAGATCTACCATGTCATGGATCAGGTGCGGGAAGATGATGTCCTGTTGAAGTACAAAGGCGGGAGCCATAGCATGCGGAAGTGCCTTCTGGGGGTTCTTAGGACTGCTGGTGTGTTGTTGCCCCAAAAGAGGAATAAACATCTCCAGATATCTCCACATCTTGAATCAAGAATATATATATATATATATAACCTTGACGGCCGAAACCTTATTTTGTTTTAAGATGATTTAAGGGACCCGTCTAGGTCACTTTCACAAGCTAGACTGGTTGATACTTTGGGTGAGTTGCCATTTCCGGATCAAGGAATGATTGAGCCCAATTATACAATGAATCTGTATTTATACCCTCTGGTAATTTAACATAGCTATTGAAAATGGCTATTTATAGTGGATTTACCGTTAGAAATAGTGATTTTCCATAGCTATGTTAGTTTACCAGAGGGTAGATGATCCTTTTGGGATGGATTGAAACCAAGAGGTACCAGGTAGAGGTGTACGTGCCAATACAGTTCAATCTTTCCAATTTAGGGATCTTCAACCGCACAGACCAACCAAGATCACTTGGCTCACATCCAGTGAGCAATGGAAATCCATCATTTGCATGTCATGTAATCGAACATATGTATCATATATATATATATACACAATAAGAGCATATGATCAAAATTACATATACATGCTGTACAGAATAGACATGTCTATTTATCAACTGTTTGAATCAGCATTGGACCAGCTGATGAACAAAAAGACCAGGTGATGAGCCTGTACTCGCGAAGATCAGCATGCCTCGGGGTAAGGCGACTGAGGGAGCAGATAGCTGCAGCTTCGTCGCCCATTTTTTTTGGCAAGGCAAAACGTAACGGAAAAAATGACATTCAGCTGGGCCAATACTCTTGAGTGGTGGATTTGTTGAAGATCTTTGGATTAATTGGTTCATCGGATGCATGAAGTAGAGGCTTTTGCTGATGATTTGAACAGGAGGTTTTGGGAGATTGTCACGATGTAGGGATTCTCAATTGTGACAACACACACACACACGAAAACAAAAAAAACACATTGCATGGATTGGATCATACACACAACAATTCTTCCACTACCACGCCTACGGCTGTGTTCATGGACTTGGGAACTTGAAGGGTATTTCAAAATCCTATTGTTGTTCGTTATTCGCATGTCCGCCGGCTATTCAGCCCACTCTTCTTTGTATGAAATTGTTTGTAAGTCATCCTAATAAGTCCAGGGCGACCTAAACAATGTCGCAGCACAACTAGAGCAATCCAATAATAGCTATCATGCCCAACATATCAGAAGCCCATCTAGATAGCCACAATATATCACAATATAACATGTCCAACCATTCTTGCCCCCGAGATAGATATGCACTGTTGGATGGGTGGCTTTCACCAGCAGGTGCTGGTGAAACTGCTGCCCAAGGAGCAGGTTCGCCGCCCATTGTCATCAAGGGATGGTTCAACGGATGTACAGTGCCAAATTACTAGTAGCAAGAAATCAAGAGAAACGGTAGAACCATTTGATTTGAAAATGCGAGTGTATAGAACATACTGTAGGAGATGTTGTAGAACCGATAGCAATGAGTATTCTTTTTACAGTGCAGCAATGAGGCTTTGGCGATCTCATGGCTGCAGTATTACCAGTCCGCGGCATTGTTTGAAAAATTGTAAGATGTATTTGCATCTCATAATTGATTGAGTGTGTTCTCATTTTTTTCACAATGTAATAGTCATCTCTTGTTCTTTCAATTGACTTGCAAGTCGATGTAACTGTTCATGATTGTGAGCGTTGGACAGTGCAGCACACGGTTTGTGCAGTGAGGAGACCTCCTTCGGTCTGCTGCTGTCGGAAGGGGCCAATGAACAAACCACCACCGCTGGGGAGGCGCCGGAGGGACCAGGGTTTGACCAGCGCGCTTTTTGTCGCGGCTGGTCATGAAATTCACAATTCACGTTGATTTTCAAAATCCCGTGGTTTTGGTAATGAATGGAACTATAATCAATGGTAATCATATCTAGTTACATCCAATTTTGATGCGTTCATATCGGCGAAAGACATTGCTGAATTAATCTGAATTATATTGAATCGATATATTGGACCAAAAGCAAAGTCAAAACTTTTGATTACCTTTGAACATTGGAAGTTGAGCAATAACTCCATTCAGCAGATGTGCCCCTCCAGAGTTCGGTAACTTAAAGGTGAATCCACTTTCTGGTACCTTTCGTGGTGTTGGAACCACTGAAAATCCAACGTCAACCAACATTTAAAGAGGGATCATCCATTTCCAATCATTTCCCCTTTTTCTCCTGTTGTTTGAGGCTTGATGAATCCCAATTTCTGAATTGATGAGGTATTCGAGTTCAGCTTGTCAGGTTGTGTCGGTTGGCGCTGGAACCATCTTGGCCAACGGTGGGGACCCGCAGATTGTGATCGCTGTTAACGTTGACCATCGTTCATATATGAATATGGAGTGTGTGAAAGTGGGGTATCCCAAAATGCTCATTTTACCGGGAAAGTGATTAACAAGTGGATTTAGGATTTTTTTCCGGGAGACCCAATTTTCTGACACCCGTATATTTACATGGGGTATTGTACCAATCCTAGTTTTGACCTAGACTTTCCTAGAGATAATTCTTTTGTGGGGATTGTTGGGTTAGAAACTACCAAAACGTGTCAGGGAGACCTGGCATCCCTGAGGCGATGAGCTTGAAGCTCCGGTGAAGGCGGTGCCAGTGGAATCCAGTGGACATGATTCAAATGGATGGAACTGGTGGAATGCCCTCCGGTAATTTAACATAGCTATGGAAAATCACCATTTTTAATGGGAAAACTCACTATAAATGGTCATTTTCAATAGCTATTTTGACATAACCAGAGGGTATTTTTTTTTTTTTTTAGCCAGTTTCTGCCCCCAACAAAATCCGCTTCTGCGTGATGTTTGGTTATTAGTGGTCGTGGTTCAACGTGTTTGTTTGTTTTGTTTTCTGAGCCGTCCACTTTGATGGAACCTGGTAGGCTGGTGACAAGGTCCGCTTTCGCTATGGAGATGAGGTGGGGGATGGCACCTCATTAGGAACATATCTTGAGATAATGGGCACCCAAAGAGTAAAGAATGAAATATGTGGATATTAACCTCATGGATCAGGCTAATCTTCACGACATCATTTGTCCACTTTTTGTTGGTGATGATTCCAATCAGCCGGTGAAGGATCGGAATGCCATTTGTGTGGGTGGGCGGGCGGATTATATAGTGAGATTCATGTTTTAGTTGTGGACTAGATCATCACTCCCAATCATATATATATACATATTATGTAGCTATATAATGTGGTTGTGCTGCCAATATAGGTGGCATACGGATCTTTGGCTTTAAGATCTCTTTCTTTTCAAGTGAAACATACAATCATATCAATCATGCCATAATTTGTGGTCCCAGTTCAACATGATAATTACATTCAGTCAATTTCTGTCATATATTTTGTTGGTTTAGTTTAGAACATTTTTTTGGATCATAGCATTCGATGATGGGACAATTTTTTAACCGGAACCCCCTACCCTCTGGTAAACTAACATAACTATGGAAAACCACCATTTTTAATGGGAAAATCCACTATAAATGGCCATTATCAATAGTTATGTTAGTTTACCAGAGGGTATCCTTGATGGTAAAAAACCCATGGGTTTCCGGTGAAGATTTTCCCACCAATCCATCAAAAAAACCCTCCAGGTCGAGCTGGACCTGGGTGACGGCGGCCAATTTTCGGTGGCGGGGGAAGCCCAGAAACTGAGGATGTCATGGGATGTTCTGATGGTTACCCTCTGGTAAACATACAAACAGCTATTGAAAATGGCCATTTATAGTGGATTTTCCCATTGAAAATGGTGGTTTTCCATAGTTATGTTAGTTTACCAGAGGGTATCCCACATGAATCTCCCACGTGAATATCCCACATTTTGTGAAAAACTTTGTAACTAGAACTGGATTGTATTGGATTTGATATTGTATCTGTATATTGATGCTTGACTGGATTACTGTTATTCGTGTATCATTACTGTTTATCATATCATCCTATAGTTTTTTTTGTTATATTCATATATATTCATATTGTAAATCTTATTGCGCTATTCGGATTCTAAAGAGGATGATAATCGTGGTTCATAGACTTTATGAACTACGAACGGGGATGCACGCCCACCGTGCATGGGTAAATCATTTCGTTTTGGTGGGTGTCATACCCACATTTCTTTTTCTAACCCTCTATGCACTGTAGCTGATATTTGCACTAGCAAAGCTGAATCCAGCCAAGAAAATGGTGAGTATCACCAGAAGACATGCAACCAGCAGACACGAGGGTTTTGCCAGACACATATGATATGAATCAACATGAATCAACAAACATGCGCTGACACCCTGAAAATTCAGTGGAACCTGAAAATTGTGCCTCCAAACCACCAATCTGCGGCTTCCTGTACAGTACCTGGTACAACCAGCTATCACAAGAGTTGTTTCATCCTAGAAGCCGGTGGTAAACATCCCCAAAGTGCGTGAATTAGAGAATGCTCACGCAATTTTTGAATGAGGAAACCAGCTTGATGGTATTCTTGTTGCGCTTCCCGGATCGTATTCTTGTTTAATGTCCTGAGGTGAGCATTTCCAATTGCATCGCCAAATGGTAGAGGCAGCTGGACCTGGAACCGAAGTTGGGGAGTGGAATCGAACTTCATATTAAAAGCACATATTAGCGCCAATACTAGTGTACATGATTGTATAATATTGTATACATGGAACTGGAATATTCATGTCCCAGCTGCTGATTATGTACCATAACTTCAGGGATAATTCTGGTACCATGTATACTAACTATGTACAATTATATATATGATCCAATTATATGCACATGCATATAAGCATACACAAACTTAACTACTCACATACATACATACATTACATTGAATTGAATTTCATTACATCACAATAGATATAATATATTACATACATTTTTGTGCCTACATTATATATCATTATTATTATTTCCACATAATTCTATGGTTATATGATGTTATATGTACACAGGCCACTGAGCTGCCATGGCCATCTTGGGCAGCGAGGTGCTCCTGTTGTGGCGTTGACAACAGGAGGTTATTGGACCGCCAGTAAAATAATTGGCATTTTCCATTATAAATTATAAACCATCCGTTTGGGGGTACCCCCATTTATGGAAACTTCATATGAAGATGTAATAGTGGTTATATTGGCAGCGTAATTAGACCATGTTATTTAATACTAGCGTGATATTAGCATATCTAATGGTGTATCATTAGTATATTAACCAGATCATGGATATCTAAAGGCAAGTTGGGCTAGTACAATGAGACAACTGCTAATAGTTTGCCAATAATATACCTATATATAATTGCATATTACGGAATAACTGGACTTCACTATAATGGGGGTATAATGGGATAATGGGATATTTAGGGGACATAATTCTGGGAAATATCAGGCGATACGATTGGCTATAGTCGGCTATAGTGGGGGATATAATCGGGTATGAGGGGACTTTGCCAACATAGGCTAGGTATAGAATTGGAGAGAATGGGTAAATGAATTTGCGTAATTACATAGCTCTGTAGCTTGAATGATATAGTCATAGTATTATTAAATGGTTTATTATACGGGTGACTCTCAATGTTACATGGGATTTGATTTTGATATGTTGTAGCTTGATAGACCAACGACGGGTCAAACCCAAGCAATTGGGCACCACCTTGAATCTTGCACTCATAAGAGTTGAACAGCGATCAAAATCTGTGACGGTCCCGATATATCCAAGTCACAAGAGCATCAATTTTGACACCACGGAAATGTTTCCCAAACCGTACGAGTGTTTGGTAGTCGAAAGCCACAGCTTGTTGACTAGACATGGTTTACATGTGCAAGAGATGTATCTGTTGCTGTTTGTGTTGTTGCCTGTACAATATGAGTGAGAACTTGCTTCTGCTGGAATGATGTAGAACTCTGCGCAACCCCCGTCTCTTGGCCCAAGCCTTGAAAATAGCACCGTACATGCCTGGTGACTCCAATCTCATGGGTTGGTCGTATGTAATTTTTGGTGGTCACTCCCACAACACCGCAAGTCTAAATCGTCTAAATCGTACTGTACGCTGGTGAAATGCCTTGTTGGTGGAGCCATCATACACAATTTCTTGTGATTGGTTGCAACAAATCTAAACAGTCTACACATAATTGAATACACATACATACAATCACAACAACATACATGTATGTGTGTGTGTGTTTGTAGATATATGATAATTATACGCTGTTTGTAGTTACATACAGTCGTCATTCATCCATACACATGCACCTACACCTACACAGTTAGATACAGAGTTACATACGTGGTATGTACATACTGTAAGTGCACATACATATACATATGCATATGCATATGCACATACAAAGATACACACGCCTGCATACACGTACATACACACATACACGTACACGTACATCTATAACCACATGTAAAGACATACATACAGACCAGTACACACAAGTATGTAGATTTTATTGGGATATAGACACATTGTTGGACTTGGGCAGGCCTTGCCCAGCCATGGCCATGGGTCTGGGTTGTAACTATGATTCCCATTGATTCCCATGGTTTATTGGGAAGGAACAGTCCTCACTACAGTGATTCAATTGCTGCCATCAGTCTGTGGGCCCAACGGAGCTCTTGATTGGGGTTTCACAGCCATGGCACCAAAGAGCAAGGATTCATTGTTCCTAACTATTCGGGAATCTTGGATCAGACTGCTGCACAGGGGTAGACGGGAAGGGCACAAGCCAAGAGCTTGGACATGTTTGAGACTGAGTTTAAACCTTGACAGGATTCATGCTCTCCAGCAGTGAGTCAAGCAGGGAGACTGGGTAAATGTATGTATGACTTGTTACAAATCAGGACAGCAAGTTCTTGACAAGCACTTGAATATCCTGACCATTTTTTTCATGTGAGACAGCAGTGAAGCAGAACCTTCAAGACCAGGGCTCATTCTGGGAACATAAACCCTAAACCTGAACTGACAAGTGGCGACCCCTTGCGTTTTTGAAGTGTTTCTGCTGGAAACCTTGCTTGACAATGAACGTTTTTTCTGGTGGCCTAAGAATGGCAGGAGGATCCCGATCGGCTCATGTTTGTTTGCGGTGTTGAAACGATCAAGCTGTAGAGGTGAATTAATTTCGAGCTGTACAGGGGTGATCAGTCCAGTGTTGGAGCATGTTGGAGCGCTTGCAAGCAGGGTCATTGCAAACAAGCTATTAGTTACTGAGGATGGCGATCTCAAGAGCGCAAAGAAGATCATCACAGGATCTTCTTTGCAAACTCTTGCCATGCGTGGCTTGGCAAATGGGTTTGTTTTTCAGGCTGGAATCCTTACTGTAAACAGAACGGGATGAAAACTAGTTCTCCATTTTCTCTGTGTCAAATAAGGCTTTTTCCAGGCACCCAGGACTCACGAGAAGAATTGCAAAATGCGTCCATTTTGTTGAGGCGATTTGGCATGCCTCAGCAAGCCTTTGGTTTGTTGAATCGTTTGCGGCCTAGTTTTCTGAGGCACGCAGATGGGGCAGACGCCCCTTTTCTTCGCAGCAGCCCGCCGCCGGCAGGCTGGCCAAGCAGCTCAAAATAATTCTGTCAAGTCCATGGAACTATGGAGGACGGTGTTGACAATTTACTGGGACTCGCGATGCCGTGTACCTGGGTTATAGCATGTTACAACCCTATGAAACAAAACCTGTTGCCTTATTCGAAAAGCAAAAAGCAGGGTTCGTCTCTTGGCGGCCTGGCATTCAATTGCAAGCGAAATCGCTCTGCGAGATGTTGGTCCAGCGCGGCATATCCGTGCATCATAAGGACGTGGCTTGGCACAGTTCCTGAAGTGATGCTAGAAGATGTTAAGGGGCAAATTTTCCGATTGGTTTCGGCTCAAAATTATTTACGCCCAAATGTGGATGGTATTTTGCTGGTTCAACATCTCATTTTTGAGCCCCCTTCAAATCATGCCAAATCCAGTTTCATCTGGCCAGGGAGATACACACACAAAGAGCAAGTTGTTGCCTATCCTGTTGGACGGAGAATCTTCCAAAGTGGGGTTCAGCCATGAGGGGATTCAACTCACAGAAAGAGTAGACCAACGATGATGAATGTCAATAGCCGATTGGCACTCTCAACCGTGCGATTTTTCCATGAGGAATCCAAGCGCTTTTGGCAAGGGTAATTAGTTTGAACACATTCAACCGTTCAACCACCGATCAGACAGTGATGCCTTTGAGATTTGGTAGGTACGGACCCAAACTCGGTACCTCCAAAAAAGATGGGTTGATGCTGTAGATGATGAACTTTGTGTGGGCTTGCTATTGCACGCCGTCGTCTCCACTCGCTTCCGGGAGCCAAGGGAAATTCGCAAACTGCCCTCTTTTACGCATCTCGACAGGGCCGTTGTGAGATAATTCAATACCTGATGAGCCAGGGCGCGGACCCCAACGTTGTGGACGAGTTTGGGGAAACTGCGCTGCTGGGCTGCGCTGCTACAGTTGTTTGTTTTGGGGGGATGGTGGACAAGAATCTGCTGAATGGGCAGGGAGCAAGCAGTTTGTGTGACTGTGAGTCTTATCGCTGAGAGATCGCATTTTTGTTTGGCCGCTCTTTGTTCAGGTTTGTCCTGGGTCAAATTCCGAATCCCGAAAAAAGAGGGTACCCTATAATATGACGGATGGACAGCATTTTGTGAGCCCAAGGGTCCAAACAATTTTGAGCCACAGCAAGACGGTTGAAACTCATTATGACATGCCGGTAGTGCCTCTCTGAGGTTGTTTTATGCCGTCAGGAGTAAGAAGACAGCTGCGGCCACGGCCTTGTTGGAAGGCGGTGCGAATCTGGAAGCGCCTGGGCGTTGGAATGGGAAGCGCCTGCCACATGCAAGGAACACCACGTCTCCAGAAAATAGAAATGTGGTAGGAGTAGGGTTGGCTGACATGTATTTGTACGGGCCTTCCAAAGGCCAGGTTAAACTTGGCCGTTACACTAACAGCTGGCCGTTACCTAAAGACCATCGAAAACCCACGGTATTTATTTATATATATAAATTTATATACTGGTTAAAGACTACAACATACACCAAAAAATGAGTAAAATTTAGGCGCACGTTTTTGGTGGCTTTTCACGGGTTTTTCACGGTCCAGATTTTGTGGGAAATTTCAGGTAGGTACTTTCTCCAGATCATATTATGTTTTGTATTTGGTGACATCATGATCTAAGATGCAGACGTTTGCGCAGAGCCCGTGCTCCCAGGCGCATTTTACTTGCATCGACTTGAACCAAATGGCCTTTTTATCCAAATATCTAGTGACCATCATTTCCCAACATGACATGTGAGCTTCCTGGACAAAGTATATAATTGTTTTTAAAATAGCTATGTAAAGGAGCATTTTCCAACAGCCAGGTTAAACCTGGCCGCTAGTAAAGACCAGGTTAAACTAGGTCGAGGAAGCGCTGGGCGATCATATCATAATACACTATTATAGTATGTAATATATAACTTGTAATAACATACATTTGTGATGATACATAGTAAAAAAATATTTATTTATATTAATATATATATATTTATATATTACATATTATATATATATCAAATGTGGATATATATATATGTAATTGTATGCATTTTCTTGAATGTGGCGGCGTCCTGCGACTGGTGAAACATTGGTACCATTTGGTACCGTCTTTTGGTATGTTTCCCTACAATGTATTGTTCAGGGGTTGCTACAGAATGACGAAGGGATTCTGATCAACTCCCCAAGCGCTGGCACAGCTCATCTATGACACGTAATTACTACCACCATCATTCAGTTCATGGAAAACCTAATGGAATTTTATTCACAGTGATGCTATCCTGTCCAGCCTTTTGGCCCTTTCACTGAGGTTGTCAACAATGCTGGCAACACCTGTATGAGCCTCGCGCCGGCTACAGTATTCCCTGCGTTGCAGGAGGCGCGGAAGTGGGTGAACCAGAGCAAAAGACAACGTGTCCATCGAATTTGAAATCAGATTCAATTACTGCCAATCATTGGTTTCCAACTTATGACAGTAAACGATTTAGGTTGAGCCTGGAACTTCCCAATTTCTGGATTGCACCAGTACCCAGTTGCAAACTGGTCTGTGTCCAGTTGGGCTGTGGGTTGATGGTGTGCACGTATCCACTTCCAGCTTTTGGTTTTTGCAGCAACCTCATGGCCGATCTTTCCAAGAATGCTGGTCAGCGCTAGGACCTGCAACAGTAAAGCTGACAGTGAGGAGGCCATTTCCTGGCTTTACATCAGGTTTAGGATGTACTGTAAACAAAATTGTCGAGACGTCCAACATGCATGCCTCAGGAGCGCAAGAAACGGCGCCTCTATGATGACGACCCAGGCTTGCTAAGGGCCTACAGTGCGACTTCGTGATTTATTAATCGTTTGGGTACATCTCTTGATTGATGCATCCCCCAAGAAAAGAAGAGGGTTTCCCAGCCAGTCATGCTTGGTTACCCAAGGATAATGTCAGATTCTGCCTTGGACCATCAGGTCCGGGGCCAAAGCGCCAGCGGACGGCGATGGAAGCCCTGCGAGCATGGGCGAGTGAGTGGCCAGCCGAGGAGCCCATCCCCAGTACCTTGGATCTTGGTGGATGCTCATCAGGATCCATAGTTTTCAAAATCATCTAATTTCAGCAGTGTTTGCAGCCCCCAAGAGGGGCCATGAGTGCTCACAAGCCCGAGACTGCAAAGTAGTTTCTTTTCTTGGTGTGTGCGTGTGTGTCCAAGCTTAGATAGTAATTTGTGAATTTTGACATATGTTGACTTATTCTTGGCAACGGATGGAAGCACGATCGTGTTGGTCAACGGGTCATTGGACAGGGCCAAATGTTGATCCGGGAAGCATTCCACGCTTCTTGAATCCTGAGGAAAGAAAATAGTTGACTACAAGCAGGAGGACTGATGACTGATGGAAACTGCCGGGAATTGAATGTGTCAACGTGTGTCAACATATCAAAGGTGCTTTTCTATCTGTACACATCATACGTAATTATATAAAATATATGTTTATATTTGTTTATGTATGGTGCATAATACATATTTCTTTTTGAGCAGAGACAAGGACATGCATAACATATGCACCCTCTGTATTATGTGTTTACTCCCTGTGTCGCACAAATCCGATTAGTGATGTCCCTTGATGTTCGTTTGTTGCGCGTTCCAGTTGCAGGACATCATTGACAAGACTGACGGCTACGCCGTTCTTCGAAGGTGCCCGGAAGAATGCGCAGCACAGCTGCGTGTCAGCGAGAAGCACTTCGTGGCGGATCATGCCCAGTCTCTTGCACAGCAAATTGGGTACAGGTCATGTTTGTCTGCGGGATTGTTTAGTCACGGACAAGCCAGCAAGATATCGGGAATGACACTTAGACTTGCTACAGGGGAATTTGAGCAGCTAATCCGTGCCTCCAGCAGCCGTAGCGGCTTCGACCCCATGTCCATGTTGTGGTCAAAAACACTGATGCCTTCAGTCAGAGGATATCTTTACGAGAGACAACGGGGGCCAGAGGTATGACTGGCTGAGAGAGGGGAATCGTGTTCAAGTTCCTGGGGCCTTTGTTTCTTGGGGCACTAATTTTCAAAGAGACAAGCCAATCAACCCGCAAATTGCGCAGTTACATATATTTATGTATACATTGAGTACATACTGGCCACAGCTCCAGGGATGTGTTTTGACATCAGGCCAGGTTCAAACCATCTCAAACCTGGCATGCTGACGGGTACATCTAAGGCTCCTCCAAGAAGAAACTTGGTTCCACGACTTGTCGCCCGAGGACGCAAGATCGTGGGCGGATGCGGGCGGTGTTGCAAACCTATCAGAAGTGGTCTCGGGGAAACAATGAATGAGAGGAGACCTTTATATTGATTCAGACAGCAGCCCCTGGGCTCAGCCCCTTTGTTGTCCTTTGAGTTTCTTTATTCCAGGATTCAGCTGCGCTTCTTTGCAAATCTCATCTATTGAAATCACTTATTTGTTGTTATTTGGTTCTCTCAACCTTTCGTTTGTACCTGACGCCAGAAACACTTGGCTGGTCTCGACACAGGCTGTGCGCTGGATCATTCTTTTCCCCCCTTTCTGAGCAGGTTCACATACGTATGGGTTTGTCCGAAATTTTGGTATTAGTGAGATTTTTTTTGTTGAAATTCACAAGTTTGCGTCATGCACGCGGTTTGTCTTCATAGTAGTTAGTTGTTGGATGTCCTTGGTGCCTTTTAAACAAACCATGTCGTGACTTTTTTGCCCTAGATTCACAAGGACCCCATGCGTGGATCGGATAACGGATAAAGCTCTGGGTTCCGTCGCCCTTCCTTGATGTTAACCCAGCGAATATTAGAGAACATTGCCGGTTCAACTAAATGCTGAAATCCGAAAGGCTATTATCGTTTTTTGTTTAAATGTGCCATGGAAATGTCAAAGGGGGCTTCACATGGCTCAACCAGATCAGACAGAATATTTCCCACGATGTTTTGCATTTTTACATCCACCTTCATTCGTTGCTGAATTAATCCCAGTTTTAATGTTTCAGGACATTTCAGCTTAATGACTGAGAAACTTGGTGCTCGATGACTGAGTCCCTTCCTACTGGCAGATTCAGAGACAAATCCTTCCATATCCTCTCTATATTTCCTATTTTGTTCCTTTGTGTTTGTAAAGCCTATGTTTGGTCAGCTCGGAAGCCCAAGACCACCAGCCCTCAGCCAGGAGTGGTGCAAAGGCGTAGGTGTGATTGCGGATGAGACAGGAGTCGCTGTGAAGGCCATTAAGGCCTGGTTGAAGGAGTTGATGGGTTGATGGCTTGGATGGGGATTTGAGCATCGATAAAATTCAAGAAATGGGTTTGCTGAGCTGGAAGAAAAGGGATTTCATGGGATATATAAGCTACGCAACAAAACATATATATATATAGATACAGTATATGTGTGTGTTTAGAGCCAGTAAACACGGGACTTGAGCTCGCAAACAACAACTGGGATGCTCATTCAAGCTTAAGACATGTATCATATACGTAAGGTGCTGCTATTGCTGAAGCGTTTGAAGATTTAAATTCCCACGTCGACATTTTATGGCAAGTTTCTCAGTGAGAGGCAATTCCAGTTTCTCAGAATTTCTCAAAACACGCTAGGCAAGAAACATCAGAACACAAATTAAGTATTGAATCATACAGATTCATAGGGACACCTGAGGACACCTGCAGCGATGCCAATTGATGCCATTGAAGTAGTCGCCATTGAGGCACCGAGGAGTTTTGGTGTGTCCAGTCACTCCCCTGGAACTCTTCGGCAGGCGGTGGTGGCTGGAAATAGGGAACATCGCTTCACACTGCCGCTAGTGGAGGTGGAATCGAAGTCACTGGCTGGGTATATCCATGCCTCTTGGATGCACCCCCTGCTGATTTTGCTTCCTCGTCATGGGATGCACATGGGTTTTGCGGCTTTATGATCTTGTGACACTGACCAGGCTTCAGGGGAGCTAATTCATGACACATTTGTTGCAAACATGGTGATTGTTTTGTCTTGAGCAAGCCATCTCCAATTAAAAGACAAGTATGTACTGTCTTGATCCGTATTGTCATTGTATATGTACTGGTTGTATACTACATATACACAATAATTTCATATATATATATATTTTAAACTGCTTTGTGTACTTATACAAAGTTCTATATACTTATAATTATTTTCTTATGTATATTTGCATTTACTTATGTATATATATAGATATATTTGCATTTATATACTTATGTATTTGTTACTTATATTTGCTGATATATACGTGTATATTTTACTTATATACATACTGATGTATGCTTATATATATATACTTATACTTACATATATATATGTGTGTGTTTGTATATACTTACATGTTGTACTGTAGCTCTACCATGACATTTGACCATTTGCAATGATTCCTTGTGTAACAGGATTTTGGCGATTTTGCTTCCTTGGAATTTCGTTTGAATTCTGTTAGAATTTCGTTAGCATTTCGTTGGAATTTCGTGGCAAAACGTTTTGCCACATGATTTTGCCTCATTTCTTTCGTTCGAATTTCGTCAGGATTTTTTTGGAATTGCCCAACGAAATTTTCACGAAATTCGAACGGTTTTTTTTTGTGGCAAAATGTTGTGGCAAAACGTTTTGCCACACCCCAGAAATCGAAAATACACCAGCATTTTAACGAACTTGTGGTTTGTGGCAAAATGTTTTGCCACAACATTTTGCCACAAAAAAAAACGCTGAAATTTTGTTAGCAAATCGTCCAAGTCAACAAATTCCCAACGAAATCTCAGCGAATCATTCAACGGTTTTCTTATGGTGGCAAAATATTTGGTAACATGGATTGCCACAAGTTTTTTTGCCATCATTGCCACAAACCCATACCTGTTTATAGGGGCCCCATTGCAAATAATGTAGAAGAGCATTGCAACTTATATATATCTATGTGTATTTACTTTCATATACTTTTTTATCCTTGTATATTCTGGTATATTTATATATACCTATATTTACTGATATATACTTCATATACTTATATACATACTTCTGTATACCTAAATTTACTTGTATTTACTTATACTTACTTATTTATTCTTATACACATATTATATATACTTATTTAGTTATTTTTACTTCTATTTACTCAAATATACTCATATTTACTAACTTTTATTTACTTATATTTACTTCAATATACTCATTTTTATTTTATTTGTTTTAAAACTCTATTTGTTTTAAAACTGGTATATGCTTGTATACATGTGCATTGACTTATGTATATTTATTTTTACAGCTTTATATTTAATTGTATTTATTTGTATATACTTTTACATAAACATTTACTTTTACATAATATATACTTATCCAAAAATACTTATATATATATACTTATGTATACTTGTAAATGCCTAAATATACCTATGTATATTCATACTTATTTACCTGTTTTTATTTACATGTATTTATATTTACTCATATATACTTATCTATATTTATTTGCGCATTGTTTTTTTTAAAACTTGCATATGCTTGTATACACTTGCATTTACTTATGTATACTTACAAATATACTTGCATATTTATATATACATGTATTAACTTAACTCTATTTGAATATTCCGATATACTTATATATATATATAGACATACTTATATATATACTTGTATATACTTGTATATACTTATATACATATAATTCTATATATACACGCACTTTTGTATACTTGCATTTGATTTCTTTATATATACGTATATATACTTGCATTTACCTATATATATATAGTTTTATTTACTTTTATATGCTTATGCATACTTATACATGCTTTTATATACTTGTATATGCACATGTATATGCACTTGATCTCTCCAATGTGCCCATGCTGGTTCTTGAGGTGGGGTGGAAACCCGAAGAGGAGGAGCTATCCATCAAGCAGCTCAAGGCTGCTTGAATGTTCTAACTACACTGCTTTCTAGTTTTTTGATAGCTGCTCATATTGAGTTTTGCCGGGATCTAACTTCAGTGGCAATGACAGTCTTCACGCCAAGGTGAATGACAAGGACATGAATAGAGGGCTTGGAAAGCTGCTGCTAGCAGCAGCTGAAGAGCACAGCCGTCGATGCTTGGCTGCGGCAACCCGTGTGGCTGATCTATTTCCCACACATTGGTCCTACGCCATTCAAATGTTGGGCCAGGGTGACAGTTTCAATTCAGTCCCACCCACTTAAGGAGCATGTCACCGGGGCGATCACTGAAGTTTGTAGGTTTATTGGAGCAGGTGATACCCTTATATTCCTTATATTTGAAGAATTTTGTATGAAAGATGTGGCAGACAGAGAATGCGTGTTTCATGTTCCACGTTTTAGTTTCAGACCTTACCAGTGGCTGTAACATGCTCCAGCCCACCACTGTGGGTCCTATCTTCACTCTCACCCATTGACAGCGCGAGACCACCATGCTGTTGTCCTAAGGAATGGGGTGGACATGCACGGGGACATCGCTCAGCGTATTGGCATCAAATGTAACTCGGCTGGCCCGACAAGAGAACTTGACATTTACCATTTCGCGGTGTGCTGAAAGGTTTCAAGCTGAACCTTGGGGTTGAAACAATGTCTATTGTTGTGTCTTCCTGGAGGCCATGGGGATCATCACAATTTATCATGGTCCCTTTTTTAGTGTTTAACGCATTTAGCGCATGACTATGCTTTTTTTATTTTTGGTGCTAACCGCTTATTTGATTCAGCCGTATCCAGTCCATCGCAAGGTGCCTTTTATGACATAATGTAGCCCGGGAAATAGGATAGATTTGGGTTCTACCGGGGACGGTTCACTTTATTGCCTCAAAAAAACTCTCTTTTTACCTTCATTCCCCACCTGCCAGGTGAGGGTTGTTAGATTTTATGTCAGTTGCCTGCTCCTCTCCTCCTCTCCTCTCCTCCTCCTCCTGCTCAACCGCGACCCTCGACGCACAGTGTTCTCTGTCGGACCTCAACCACGACCATCCACGCCCAGTGTTCCCTGCTGGACCTCAACCACGACCATCCCCGCCCAGTGTTCCCTGCCGGACCTCAACCACGACCATCCACGCCCAGTGTTCCCTGCCGGACCTCAACCACGACCATCCACGCCCAGTGTTCCCTGCCGGACCTCAACCACGACCACCCACGCCCAGTGTTCCCTGCCGGACCTCAACCACGACCATCCACGCCCAGTGTTCCCTGCCGGACCTCAACCGCGAGTATCCACGCCAAGTGTTCCCTGCCGGACCTCATGTAGGAAGATATGGGACAAAGAAGGCCAGAAGATATGCCAGTTAAAATGACAGAAGATATGCCAGATAGGATGCCAGAAGGTATGCCAGATAGAATGCCAGATAAAATGTCAGATAGAATGTCAGAAGATATGCCAGATAAAGTGCCAGAAGATATGCCAGATAGAATGCCAGAAGATATGCCAGATAGAAAGCCAGATAAAATGTCAGAAAGAATGCCAGAAGATATGCCAGATAAAATGCCAGAAGACATGCCAGATAAAATGCCAGAAGGTATGCCAGATAGAATGCCAGATAAAATGTCAGATAGAATGTCAGAAGATATGCCAGATAAAGTGCCAGAAGATATGCCAGATAGAATGCCAGAAGATATGCCAGATAGAAAGCCAGATAAAATGTCAGAAATAATGCCAGAAGATATCCAGATAAATGCCAGAGACATGCCAGATAGAATGCCAGAAGATATGCCAGATAGAAAGCCAGATAAAATGTCAGAAAGAATGCCAGAAGATATGCCAGATAAAATGCCAGAAGATATGCCAGATAGAATGCCAGAAGGTATGCCAGATAGAATGCCAGATAAAATGTCAGATAGAATGTCAGAAGATATGCCAGATAAAGTGCCAGAAGATATGCCAGATAGAATGCCAGAAGATATGCCAGATAGAACGCCAGATAGAATGTCAGATAGAATGCCAGAAGATATGCCAGAACATATGCCAGAAGATGTGCCAGGTAGAATGCCAACAGATATGCCAGATAGAATGCCAGAAGATATGCCAGATAGAATGCCAGAAGGTATGCCAGATAGAAAGCCAGAAGGTATGCCAGATAGAATGCCAGAAGGTATGCCAGATAGAATGTCAGAAGATATGCCAGATAGAGTGCCAGAAGATATGCCAGATAGAATGCCAAACAATATACCAGACAGAATGCCAGAAGATATGCCAGATAGAATGCCAGAAGATATGCCAGATAGAATGCCAGAAGGTATGAGATAGAATGCCAGAAGGTATGCCAGATAGAATGCCCAGATAGAATGTCAGAAGATATGCCAGATAGAATGCCAGAAGATATGCCAGATAAAATGCCAGAAGATATGCCAGATCGAATGCCAAAAGATATGTCAGATAGAATGCCAGAAGATTTGCCAGTAACAAAACGTATAAATGTCATGGTGGGGATAACTCGAAGTAAAGTATTTTTTTTGGCTTGAGAACCCCTGCAGTTACCCAACCTGGTCATCAGAGCGCCAAGAATCGAGGAGCGGGCGTGCAGGTGTTATAGCGGAGCTGGATTCAAGAAAGAATCAAGCAGAAGCGCCAGTTGGGGAAAGAAAGGGCATATCGCATCAGACTGGCAGCGATGGAAGAAGGTGCCAGCCTTGTCAATGTGTGTCCCCAAGAGACAAGTTAACCAACATTGGAAATAGCAATAAATCGTACGGATTCGTATTTTCCCACATGCGTAGCAAGGGTTCCCGTCTCGCTCTGGGAGTTTGGAGGTTGAGGGTGTGTTCGCTAGAGGTTACTTTTGCGTCCGCAACCGATCGCAACCGCTCGTACTTTGGAGGCTTCAAACCTTGCGTAGCTTCGTTTCGTATGGCAGGCGTGGCGCTTTGTGACTTTCCAGAACATGTTTCATAACGTGCCAAAAGTTTTTCTGTGTGACGGGCGGGCACAATACTTTTGCGTCGCTTTCAGAAGATGACTTCCATTTTTTGTGGCAGGCGCAGCTTTGGAGACCTCCATCATCATTTGGCATGGCAGGCGCAGCAATTTAGTCGTGTCGTGGTATGTGTTTTTTGCGTATCGCATTGTCAAGGCTGCGTCAAGTGAAGACAACGTGCAAATTCCGTTGCAGGCGTGGCATTTCGTGACATGTGATGAAAGACGGAAGCCGCGCACGAAACATCAGTTCTGGGGTGGTAGACTAGATTGTGGGGTTCATGAGAAAATTCGTAGGAAAACGTCGATTTTGTAGCTACAAAGTGTGAAAATTTGAGGAAGTCTCGCACAGAATGCTTGTTTGAGGCTCCAGCATGTCTCGTCTCGATTCTCTGGTTTTCTTGTGGCGTCGCCGTGCCTTCATAGAGGAAGCTGTAAAACCTCTCATCTTCGATCGCCCCAAAGCAGGTTCTAATGTCGCTTTGCGTGGCAGGCGTGGCACTTCATGACATTCTCACTACGTGTGTGTATGTGGAAAAGTGTCGAGAGTCGTTTCTGGGACAGGCGCAACACTTTGGCAAGGTTTTCATAGGATGACTTATAAATGACTTAAAGACTTGCAAGTTTCGTGGCAGGCGCAGCACTTTGAAGACCTCCATCGGCATCTTGCGTGGCAGGCGCAACGCTTTAGACGTGTGGTGTTACGTGCTTTGGCGAATCGCAATGTTAAAGCTGCGTCAGGTGGCAATGTGTACATTGCGTGGCAGGCGTGGGACATCCTGAGAGTTTACTTCACACCTTACATTCCACACGTGACACTCCACACTACACTGTACACTCCGCACTCTGCACTTTGCAATTCCATTCTACACTTTGCACTTTACACCCCACACCGTGCACTTTATATATTTTTTCTGCACTTTACACTCTGCACTCTACACTTTACACTCCACACTTTACACTCGGCACTTCACACCCCACAATCCCCACTTCAGACCCTATAGACTACATTCTTCATTCAGCACTCCACTATCTTGACGCTCCACACTCTGCACTCCAACACATTCCGCACTACACTCTACACTCCACACTTTACACTCCACAATGCACACTTTACACTTTACACTCCGCTCTCTACACCGCACTTTACATTTTTCACTTCACACTTCACGCTTGACACTTCACACTCTGCACTTGACACTCCGCACTTTACACTCCCGACTCTACACTTTACACTCCGCACTCTTCCCTCTTCACTTTACCCTCTACACTTTAACACTTTAACACTTCACGCTCAACACTATACATTTTACACTCCACACCCGACACTCTACACTTTACACTTCACACATCACACTTCACACTTTACACTCCGCACTTTACACTTTACACTCCACTCTACATTTTACATTCCACACTCTACACTCTACATTGCCATTCTACACTCAGACATTACACTCCACACTCTGCACTTCACATTTTACACGGTGCACTTTGCAATCCACACTCTTCACTCTTCACTTTGCTCGCTACACTTCGCACTTTACACTCCACGCCCTACACTTTACACTCTACATTTTGCACTTTACACTTTACATTCGACACTTCGCAGTCCACATTCTACACTTTACACCCCGCACTCTGCACTTTACACTTTAAACTCCACACTTTACACTTGACACTCCACACTCCAGACTTTACACTGTGCACTCCGCACTCCACACTTTACATTTTACATTCGCACTTTACACTTGGCGCTCCACACTCTGCACTTGACACTGTGCGCTCTACACTTTACACTCCACACTCTACACTTGACACTTTACACTCGGGACTGCATTTTACTCCCTCCACACTGTACACTTTACACTCGACACTTCACACTCCACACTTCACACTCCACAATCTCCGCTTCACAATGTACACACTGCATTTCCAACTCAACACTCCACTGTCTTCACACTCCACACCCCGCACTCCAGTCCATTCCACGCTCCACAGTCTACACTGGTACGGTAACAGAGGAAGAATGCACAGGGCTGTTGAAATAATTTGTTTCACAAAAAGTGTTCTACGTGACTGCATCCCTATGTGTTTCGACATTGGCATAACGTGTGAGCATTCGGGTTTGTCGGCTGCATCTTTTTTTTGGGCATCTCTGTGACTTTCAGTTTGTGTCTGTGGAACATGAATGTGGAAAAAAAACATTTTTCTAGCTGATGTGTGGGAAACTGGTGAACATACGCCACTGACTGCGCTTGATTTTGTGCTATTGTGTGTCTATTTGATATTTTTTGGTTGTGTTTCGTTTGGACATGCAATTTTTTCCTTGACGACTCACAGATTCAAATTCTTTGTCTGCAAAATGCATCGCGATAGCTTGAAACCAGCAGCTCTTCAGAATATGGGATTGGATTTGGCCCCTTGCCAAGGTGACCAAACATGCTTATGATAAGAAGTCCCCGGTCGGACAGTAATGCGCTGGATGGTCTTCATCAAATTGCTTTTGGCTGGCCAGCATCGATAATGTAAAGTGACAGGGATACGACTGCAGAAAGTGCAGGTGTCCACGCACGTCAGTAGCCAAAGACGCTACTTAGCCATGTAAAGACGAGCCCTGATGCGGAGTTGGGGAAACTGATTCTGCAAGTCCTGGGATCATAAATTGAAGGGCCACCTGCAAAGTGGACCTAAAAGGGATTGTGGAAATGTCGCGGGTTTCTATGGCAGAGGAAATTATAGAAATGCCGGGAGTTCTACCGCCGAAGGTTATGGTATAACATAAGCTTCCCGGAGATGACATGAACAATATCAGAAGCACCACACAAACTTTGTTGTTTGAATAATTCTCACGCTCACTGTTTGCGATTCCTGGCTTGCGAATGCAACCATTGGACCAGGAAAAACCCGGGAACGTTTTGATCAATCACATTTGCTGAAAGAACAAATATATTGAAAACCATGCTCACGATTACTCACATAATTGTCTGTGCACTTTAGGGGTCTTAGGGGCCATCCCCCATTCGGAAAAATATGTCAAAATTCATGAAGCAACGATTCAATGCTTCATAGATGATTCGATTTGGACGCGCATGGTGAAGTGCCGTGCCTTGGACTTCGACCGCCAAAAAAATTGAAAATTGAAACCAGTTCCAGTTTTGGCAGGGTTGTGTCCCCGCTTTTTGTGGAGTAAATGTCCGTTCTAGCGGTTGAATTAAAGTTTTCTGCGCTTTGAAATCGTACTCTTGGTGGATAACGTATGATAACATGGTGCTCAGGTGGTCTTCCACGAAGCCTCGCGGCTGGCGGGATTCCATCGCTGCGCCTACCAATGTCTGCGGCCCCGGGGGCTCGTCACGAGGGGCATAACCGTGGCATAGCCAATGATGGTACATTTTGGTACTCGAACATGGCTAGCTGGGAAATCTCTTGTTTGTTGGGAGGTTGGGAGGAGGTTCGGTTATTCATGGGAAAATCCATTAAAAAACATCATAAATGGAGGATATTTCCCAGTTTGTTTTATCGCCTTCCGGCTTTGATGACAGCTGCTTGGATCTGGTTTCTATAGTTTCTACACCTTACACATGGTATTTCAAAATAAAGCAACTCAAGTTCATACGCCGTTACATGTTACCAAAGAGTCCCGATTTTTGTCCCATTTTTGACCCACATCCAAATCCATGACTTGGGAATTCGAATCCAAAATGCTTTCAGATGTGGCTGCCCGTTTGGACTTTACCATAGCAGTGGAAGATTCTCGTTTGGAATAGGAACATCATGTGCATCTATCTGTTTCAATGGTTGTGTGTTCAATAGTTCATTCCTCAAAAGTTGGAAGATGGCCCTCGTGCGCTTTCATTTTGGTTCAGATTTTGTTGGCACATCCACCAAGCAGGGATGTTTTGTTCACCAGGTAGGGCTGAACCAGCAGAAGCAATTGCGATGCCTCAGAAAGGATCACTATAACTACTGGGGTAGTAGTGTGACTTTTCTCCATTTTCCATCTATGCAAGAATACGCAAGAGTATTTTATTTTTTTTTGTGTCTTTCAACTTTTGATACGTGACAGGTGATGAGAGGTTGCTTGTTGAGTTTCAGTTTCAGCCCCCAGTGCCTGACAGGCTGATGGCTGCAACAGGCAGCTGCTTCGGCTGCGATTTTGTGATGATTTTGAACAGATTGAGAGAAATGGACTGCAGGTGGAATGATGAGCTGACATGTAATCTTTAACTTTTACTGCAAACCAAACGACATCTGACCTTGGGGAACCAGATTGTTGCATGAGAAGTGTGAGTGAATTTTCATCCCTGCAAGCCGCAGTCCGTGCAGGATCATGCAGGAGTTGTGTGTTGCCCTATCTTTCTTCTAGCCTTGGAAGTAGAAATGGATTGATCCCGCTCACTTCCTAGCTGCAGTCCACTCTTCTCTTGAGATGTTTGACAGAGGGGTGTCTTCACTGAACTTACTGCAGCTCAGAACTGGCGATTAGAGATAGAATAGAGGCAGCACAATTGCAAAAGAATCTGGCTGATCAAAATGAAGCATAGCTTCACTTAAGTTGTTCATCATTGATTGTTTCAAAAGACACTCATTGGAAAAATGGTCATGTTGTCTCCCATAGAAACTGCAGAAAGATTAGGTGAAAGGCACCTGAAAGACCATGGCGCTGTCTCGGTCAATGGAGCGAGCTGAGCGATCCGGGGAGATTGTCGGATGAGAAACAACAAACAGCGAACATTGGGGGATAGATATGGATAGATATGGATAGATATGGATAGATATCGTAATGATAGATAGAACATGATAGAACTTATTGTAATAACTCTAAAATACCTACAACTGGCAAAGTTGCTCTATGTTTTCCAATCTTTTGCGATATACGTCACCTTCGTGGCCTTGGAATCGTCGGAATCCTCCTTGCATCGAGCCCAACTAAAGGCCCTTGGTTCCAGTGGGTGAAGATTGCTTCATAGATGAAGCTTTGAATGGCTAGGACATGTATCAAGCAGCCACTTATTGTACTATTTAAGTATTTGTATCGAAACAAACCCTATTTGATGGTCTCAGACTTGTGGCTCAAGGACCACCATTGCAACATGATGCGACAGCTCAAGCTCCGATGGAAAGAGTGGAGCAAACAATCCATGGCACTAGAGGTTTGGGTATTTTGGATCTTTGGCAAATTCAGGTTGGTGTTTCTTGACTTCCAAGTTGCATAGCACTGCATGGAAACTGTGCCAAGGAAGTCGGAGAGGAATCTTTGACAGTGTTAAAAGTAGTTGCTGGCTGCTTGCGTGCAAATTCCTTCCCAAAAAACCCTGCAATGGTACGAGTCGACAGTTCCAGAGTCGACGACGAGTGGTTGTCAATGAAAGAGGCAGGTCATACACGCAATTGTGGGACGGGCTCTTGAAGTTGTGGGCTTTGCAAAGCACTCAGATGTGTCACGCTCACATGTGGTAAATCTTGAAATGGGTAGTTGTTTGATCTCATGTCCTCGTCGCAGAAGGATAATGTTTAGAGTTGTTTGCTGAAGATAACGATCGATTATATAGCTCTCATTTTTGTTGGTGGAACTGTCATGGTTTTCACACATCACCAGGTGTTTTTGGTTGAAGTTCCATCGTTGTTCTGTAAAGGCAGAACACCAGGACGAAGGTGAAGCAGAAGCTGCGGAAGCCACGGAAACCAAGGAGAGAGCTGGGGTTCTCACGCAGCACATGAAGGTTCAACCTAGAAACGTGAAGATTTCACCACCGAATTTGCAGGTTTTACGAACAAAACTTGGGGTTTCTTTCGGTTGGCAATTGAACATGTTGATTTACCAGCAAACATGGCATGAAATCCTTTGGGGATCCAATCGCCTTGCCCTGGGATAAAACATGGAGAATTGAAGCAACAAGAACAGGTCATATGGCCAGGAACGGACCATGGGATTGGGAGGGGACAGATTGCAAAGAACCATTTTAGGCGGTTTCATTTCATATCAGTTCACAGTCGTGTGATAATCCCCTTTTATTTGACCTTCTTTCATGAAGCAAAAGCAGGGGTTCTTAAACCATCGATGCTGATGGTCTCTTCCATCTCGTACATCCTTCGATCTTGCAACGAGCTGCCGCTTCTGATTGTCCTGGTTGTGCCTGGATATCCAAGGTATGATGCATTCTTTCTATCAGGGGGTCGCTTCCCTTGATGAAAAATGTGGTGTCTTCATCATAAGAGGGCCCTGTTGAACTAAGCTTTGCTGCTTCATCAGCTGGTTCAGCAGTCGCAAACAAAGAGTCCAGAGGAAGCGCACGGAAATCCATAGAATCCATCCTGCTGTGATGAAGTACAGTAATCAACGGAATTCCTTCGAGCATCCCAGCGGTTATTTCTGGGCTGCGAGGATCCTGAGGCAGAAGCCAACGTACATGCAGAGGCTGAGGAAGATGGTGAAAAGGATGAGAGCGTCCTGGACCGCGGGCAGTGAGACCTGAGAGCACTGAGTTTTCATTTTTGTTCATGCCCGGAATGATGGGTCTGGAGACCTTGGCACCCGCAAAGGGATTGCGGATGCTCATTGATTATTGACCATCCCAGTTGGGGATATGTCGGGGGTTTATCGAAATCTTGACCCATCAAAATGTTCTGTCACCGTCTGTCCCCTTTCACTGAGTAGTCCTGTGCTTTTTGAGATCCCGCACTGGGCAGCTCTTGGGAGTGGCAACCCCTTGCGCCCTCCCAGCTAGCCCCGCAGCCTCGAAAGCGACAGGACAAGACGGTACTGTCTGATCCTCTCTCTGATGAGGAGCGGGAGGGTTGTAGAAGATGCTGGATGCTGAAACACATGCAACAGTTCACAAGAAATGGTATTTGTTTGTGAGTGTTTTAGCCGCATCAAAAAGTGTCCATTCGCAAAGGTTGTTTCTTGCCGATATACCCATCATGGGGGACCACCCGGCAGGAGCGAGAGGTCCTGACCAAATTGCGGCAGCATGAAACTGAGGTGGGGATGGCATCAAGTGGATATCTCTTTGAACTAACCAACCAGTTTTGTTCCTTACTGTAAACCACAACACTTTGGTTGGTTTAGATCAACTTCCACTTTTAATCATTATAACCAATCCCTGGAATTCCGATGTCAATGGCAGATGGGTTGAAACCATTATCTTATTCGAACATGGAGATATACAGTGTATACATGTGTATGTTTCAACCTAAGGATTTGAAACTAAATCTGAGAGTTGGTCTCTATGGACACGGCAGATTTGGCTATTTTCAGTAGTGATTGGCCAATGTTTATACACTTTCTTGGATACCCAATTTGCTGCAATTCTCACCCATACCCAGTTGGGTGCATGCAATACCAAAGTATCAGAGGGTTGTCGCGGTTTTGCACGATGACCAGACCAGAATTTGCAGGTGAAGGCTAGTGATAAATGCTCACCCAAAATCATGTGCAGATTCAATGTTGCCGTGACCTATCGTTTTAGCATGTTTTAGCAAAGAATTTGTCTTGTATACATTCCTTCCTTGCCCTTTTTGTGGCAACCTGTTCATTTCTCACTGGTTTGTAATCTGCAAATCAAATGCATTCGCGGATCAGAAGTCTGATAGCGATATGTTGATTTAAGCCCAAATATCATCGTTATCAAAATTATAGGCAACCAATTGCCTTGGGGCTGTGTTCATTCCCACAGGTTGAGAAGGTTCGTTCCGCAGCGCTCGAGCTGCGATCGAGCCCTG